GTAAGTAGTGGAAGGTAAAAGTCCTGAACAGGAGGAAAAAAAACAACAAAGCAAGACTAATATTTGTGAAGCATTTAAATGTATTCAATATGCATCTTCACCTTTATCTTGAAGAGTGCATTGGGATAAACAAGAAGTCTGGGTTGTAAACTCTTTGACTTAGTCTTTCCCTTGGGATGTCTGTTTTTTCCTCCTTGATAAATCATGGTTAGCTAGATGTATTGGTTGTGCTGAGCTGGATTTTACCATTAGATTTTAATGCTTCAACTATTTTTCTTTTGACATTAAATCACTCCGCAGACTTTACTATAAAGTTGTAAGAGTATTTGAAAACTCTTTAGTGTTACACATACAAGATTTTCTCTAGACCCTTGTGCTGAAAAGCATAGTGATAATTCTTTGGTATTCTAGAATTTCAGAACAGTAATCAGTGCAGATCTTCAGGAGAAGTTTAATTAGAGTAAGTCTAGATTTATGGAAGTTTTGGATAGCACTGTTATGAATATTGAGAGACATACAGGTAAGCTGTATCAAGTACCAAGAAAAAACAAGTATTAAAGCATAGGAGGGTAGATAATAGATATGTTCCATTAAATCACCAGGGATTAATTCTCTGTTTTTGCATGCTTTAGTGACTCTGTGCTGATAACACTGTGTTGCATTGCAGACGATATTTTACACACTTCCCCGCCTTTCGGAACTCGCTGAAGATGAATGGATCTCCCTCTCTAAATTTGACAGATTCACTGACATTCCTTTGCCAGCAGCATTTCAATGGTGCCATTCCCGAGCAGAACTTCGTGATCTGAAACCAAGTGACTGGTCTCAGCAAGACATGGGTAACATATAGCCAATATGTATTAATTTAAATTATTTGTATTCAATCTGATCTCTGGTTTTCAGCTGAAGTAAACTTGGATCTATATCAGCAGAACATGAACCATAAAATAACAGTAGATGATGAATGGTATCTCCATATTACCATTTGGATTGTCTTTTCTATTGTAGCACTAGTTTCACTCCCACTTGCATATCCATATGAACATACAGTTTGTTGTTACAGGTTCACATTTGGCTGAAGGAGACAGCCAGACAGAGTGGACTGATGTTCAGAAAAAGATTATACCCTGGAAGAACAGTACTCCTAGTTTAGACTTGGAAATGTCATTTCAGGATCGTGCTGCTAAACTTGGCAAATCAAACAGCAGATTGATTGTGGTGGCTTCACTTATTGATAAACCTACCAATTTAGGAGGTAAGGTTGATTGCACATTTTCAAACTTTTATTTTAGGCCTTGGAGCACACTTAGATAATGGAAGTTAATTTCATTTTATGTTGATAATCAGAAAATTATTTAAGTACTGCTTAGAAGAATACATCATTATCCTGAAAGAAACTGGTAGCCAAAGAAAATCCTACTCACTTCAGAGAGAGGGGTCTTCTACAGTTACATTTTAAGGAGAAAAAAGAAGTATTTACACGTAGCATGCATTAATTAAGTAGAATTTTGCTGCAAACCATACTCGGTTTCTTGCTGATTCTGTATTTGCTACAGTTGAGTTTTTCAATTGTGTATACAGTTAAAGGAAATTATTTGCTTTTTCATTTTTTTCCTGTAACAATTAAACCAGATCTTGTAAACCTACAAGATTCTCATGTCTGTTGGACAGCAGAGTCCCATTTCCTGATTAAGGTTGCCTTCACAATTTGTCAGCTGTGACATAATAAACCCTGCAAACACTTTATTGCCATTATCTTAGCAGTTTCAGTAACTGCAGTGAGTAATGAAAAGCCCACGGGCTGGTGCTGTCTGCATTGTAAAGCTTTTGTGAGTCATCCTCTTTCATTTAACAGGTACTGGGTTTAAAGCTTAAGCTTGTGTGTGGATATATATGTCAAACCATCCATCTTGCTAAGCCTTGGACACTTAACCCCTTACTTTGTGTAATTAGTACTGTAAAAGCACATTGTCAGACACAGTGCTTTTCTAAATTTTATCTTTCTGCTAAGTTACAAAACATTTTTCTCTGTAATTTATATGGAACAAAGTGTGGCTTGGAAGACTTGATACTAATTAAAAATAGATAACTAAAGTAGCCATTTCTCTTTTGCATTTTTTTTGTCATTTTCACTTGGTGTTCTGGCTTGGTGTTCTTTTTCTGCACAAAAATCACTATTTCTTGTTTTTGTAGGTTTATGTCGCACAAGTGAAATATTTGGGGCATCTGCACTAGTTGTTGGCAGTCTTCATTATATACAGGATAAGCAGTTTCAGCATCTGAGTGTTTCTGCAGAGCAGTGGCTCCCCCTTGTCGAGGTGAATGGAAGCATTTTAATAGCTAAAAAGTGTTCTCAGCATCTTCAGTTAGTCAGATACATAGTCCAGTCTTACATTATTTATCTTGAAAATACTATCTTTTTGTTTAATGGAAGCTCCTGCTGTTATCTCTGAGACTTAATCTTGTATGTTTTGGGTCAGCCTTATAAAAAAGAATTTAGAAAATACTTGCAATTTCTTATTGCTGTGATAAACTGATTATGAGCTATGTTACATCTTTCTTCATTGTATTGGTGGGGATATTTTGTGGCATTACCCAACTGTGCTACTACTGAAGAGCTTTTAAGATGTTAAGCTAGTATATGGACAGAGTCTTTGGGGATAAAAGTCATTAATCTTAAAAAGTGTCCAAGTAATTTTTTTCACAATAACTTCAGAAGTTTACAAAGTAAGTATTTTTATACTTTTCTCTACCTTTAATGAACAGGTGAAACCATCTCAGCTTGTTGATTATTTACAGCAGAAAAAAACAGAAGGCTACACTATTATTGGTGTGGAGCAGACAGCTAAAAGTTTTGATCTTACAGAATATTGCTTCCCAGAGAAATCACTATTACTGCTGGGGTAAGAACATACACAGTTTTGTAAATCTACCTCGAGTCCATCTCTTTCTCTAGTCAGAGTTTGGTCATATGAAAACCAAGTGACACTGGTAAAGGTGATTCTGGGATGGAAAGTGACTATGGGAAGAGCAGTCCTAGGCTTTGTGTGCTAAGGACCACGAGGTATTGGTACCTGCTGAATGACCCTTCATATAATTAATAACCTATCCATACACTGGCTGAAGGTAGCAACAGCATGGGTTGTATTTTCCTGGGAGTGCTGCAGAGATCATCTGTTCAGTGCAGTTGTATGGAGCCCTGTCTGTGGTGAGCTCAGCGAGGAGGAGGCTGAGTTTGCCCTGCTGAGCTTGGTGAGCAGGGCTGGAGCAGACTCAGTGTGCGTGGCTGGGAGATGATTTAAAAGTTAAGGATGAAGTAGCAAGTTTTTGCAGTACAAGCACAGCATGGGAAAACTTCAGAGAAAAGCAGTTATCAGTTTCTATAAGCAGACAAGCCTCAGGTGTGATACAAAGCGGGGGAGGCTACTTAAAGAAATCTGCAGTAAAGCACACATGAGTGAGAAAGCTCCTGGCATTGCAGGGCTACTGAGTGAGACCAGGATGGAGGGCTGGCTATCCTCTTAGGATAGTTTTTTTCCAAGTTTTTTATATGTAGCTTGTCTTCAGAATGGAGCACTCATAATCACTCTCTCTTCTAATTAAAACCAAGTTTTAATTGCCAGTAAACTTTAGTATCATCTGGTGTGACAGTTTTGACATTCCTTCATGCCAAGACGTAAATGTAAAGTGGGCAGTCGAGCTTTCCTGTTGTGCCAGCAGCTTCATATCACTATATATGGAGTTGAAAAACAAAAGCAGAGTCTCTGTGCTGGGTGCTCAGCTATTGCTGGGCCAGTGAACTGAAAATTGAGCCTTCCGCCAGTTTTTTTACATCAAAATTTCAGTCAGCTCTCTCCATGTTTTCTTTGTAATATATTGCTGTTTTTAAAAAATTCATTTATTGTCATCAGTTACCCCATAGGCAGCTGTGCCATTTGTCAAAAGGTGTTTGGATTGCTGTTTTGCTTGTATTTTTTGCTTTCTGGAACACACATGCCCTCTCTCAGATACAAGTTACTGTTTCTTCTTTACTAGAAATGAGCATGAAGGAATCCCAGCCAACTTGATTCACCATCTGGATGTCTGTGTGGAAATTCCTCAGCAGGGCATTATTCGGTCACTCAATGTTCACGTGAGTGGAGCTCTGCTGATCTGGGAGTACACGAGACAACAAGTGATCAAGCAAAAACAGCAGCAATAACTGCCCAGTCTTGTGCCTTATTGTACAGCTGGATGGCTTCCTACGGTGCTATGATGTGAAATTCTGAATAGATGAGATACAAACTCAGGGTGAACAAGGATTCTCAACTTTGCATGTTCTGTTCTCTGTAGTGTTCAGAGTGACTTTTAAATGCCTTAATACTTTACCTCCTTAAATTGTTGCATTGGAAATAAATACTATTTATATTGCATGTGGCCTGTGTTTTTTCTGCTGAACTTTTCAGCACAGTACTGTGAACAATCTCAGACTCAAAACAAAGGATTTTTACTGCAGTTACTTTGGTTGTGGTGATTGTGTTTGAAGTTGTGCCTTTAGCCATAGTGTTAAATGATTCTAGCACCTAGATATACTAGATTATATGATTTTTGGAAGGCAAGTTTACTTACATTATTACATTCAGTGCTGCTCCTTTTTTAAATGCCTTCTACAGTCACACTTATTTATCCTGCTGTAAACAGTCTGTACCTTCAAATAAAGCTGCATCACTAAGGTAATCCGACTCTACAAAAGGCCATAATGTGAGAATTGTGGTAAGTAACTGGACATACTTCTAGCAGTGATACTGACTGAAATCCTATCACCAACGCAAAAATTCCTATTGTGTATAAAACATTAGCATACTCAAAACAGAAAATTGCATATCATACGCACAGGATGCATATGACCACTGTTGTATAATTTAATATCTGACTTAAACTGTATTTTAAAACACTTCAAAATACTTGGTAAATAACAAATACAAATTATATTTCACAACCCACTGCTTTCAACAGGAAAGGCAAGTTGGAATGGACTTTATTTTAGGAAAAAGCTGGTTCACTTAATGAAAAAGAATTTCATTTTCTCTTTAGAATATGTACATTGCAATATTAAATAATCATTTATTCCTGTGAAATGATTTTACTAATTATACATTCAAACCCTTAAATTTGTGAACAGCCCTGCACCGTATTTCTTTGACATAAAAACTCATCAGAATGCTGTCAATGACCCTTTTTTTGAGCAGACACATGAGACCTGGCAACAAGAAGAGCAGTCTGCATTTCAGGGAGACTGCTACATTACCACTTCTTGCACTCAAGCAGCTTTTGTTGCTTTCTCTGGCTTCTTCTTTCTGTAGTTACTCTCACTTGATTTATTTTGAGAGCAGAGTTCCTAAGACTTTCCAGCAGCTTCTGGAGGATGATAGCCTTCTGTTTCAAGCTTCTTTTTGTATTTTAAAAAGTCTCTTCTTTTGTCAAAGTGTTTAACCTGTTTAAAAAGAGAAACTATGTTCATTAGAAGAAACTAGCAAGAGGAAGAGGCTTTGTGTAAACATTCTTTGATCACTGAACTTAAGGAGTATTTTAATGCACTAGTTAGGAGTTTCTTCTGTTTACGACTAAAGAGTGGTGAGTTGAGTTTTTGGGGGTTCTTTACCATTTTGAAAGTGAACTTCAGGTTTTTCTAAGTTCACCACCCTGTTACTTCATGAAGATCTAACATGCTTTTCTCTTTTCACTCTCATGAACAAAAACTGTGATGCAAAGGTTAAGTCCAGCAGCTTTTCTGTGGTATCACAGCCTGTGTAACCTCCAAGTTCAATGTCTAGAACTGCTGCTGTGCACGGTGCAAAGCACTGTGCATGAGACCACCATCCCTAGAGATAACAAATAACAAGAATTGCACTGTTCAAAGTGTAAGTCAGTGCAGCAGCTGTGAAGGTACTCAGGCTTTTTAACTTTAGTCTACTACCTGCAACAAGGAACTGTTCAAACACCACTGCTACTGAAGGGCAGTGCCTATTAAAAAAGAATTACATCTTGAGCTCATGAATGGGTTACAGGCAGGAAGGTGCCTTACTGTGAAATTATGCTGCACGGAAAAAAGGTATTTTTATGCACAAGGTATCAGATGTCAGTCTTAATATGCCATGCACTGCACGGTCTGTGTGGCAGCTCCCTTCTGTACTGGCCTTTAAACAGGAATTTTTGGGTACTTCTACAAGCTTTCAAGTACCTTCTAAAACTTTAAAAAAATAACCCCGTGTGTTTGTCTGGAAGTCTGAGACCGTATTTTCCTTCCTCTTTGTACTGTGCTCTCAACACTGCTTTTCTTAGTTCCCAGCCAGCCAGAAGCGTGCCAACCAAGCCACGCCCGACCCGGGTGCAGGGTTCTGTGGGAAAGCTCCAGGCTGTGTACGGCACGGAGCTGGAATCCCGCATTCCCAAGCAGCAGCAGCCGCATCCCGCCAGGGATGCGCGCACGGAGCTCACCCACTGCTGCGGGCAGCGCGACTCGAAGGCGCGGCGCAGCCTCTCGCACTTGGCGGCGTCATCCCCGTGGCTGTCCAGGCACTGCCAGAACTCGTCCCGGGCCCCCCAGCACGCCTTCCTCTCCTCCATATTCGGCGCCGCCATGCCGGCTGCCGCCCTGAACACGACACACGGCGGCTGTCCGAGCGCTCCCCGCTCCGGGGCACGGCGCTGCCGCCCCGCCGGGACAGAAACCCCGCACGGCCCCGCACGGCCCCGCTCTGCCTCACCCGCCCGGGAAGGTCGCGCTCCGGAAGCGATCCCGGGGCGTGGGCGGGCCTGGGTGCGTCCCTCCCCGGCTCTTGTCCCTCCCCACCGCCTCTCCCTCCCCGCCCCTTGTCCCTCCCCGCCCCTTGTCCCGCCCCGCGGTGCCGCACAGAGCTGCCGGGGTTGCCGCGTCTTCCCGTCCGCAGGGTTCTGCCCATCCCGCCTGCCTCAGGGCTGCTATAGCTTATCGGTCGCCAAAGATATTTGGAAGTGTCAGTTGCCTGATGTGCTTTTCTGTGCTTAATTTCTTTCCGGTGTCATCCCCCGTTGTCTAGCCCACGATAAAACAGCTCTTCTCGTGAGTTCCGTGCGGTGCCTTCGTGGATACATGCCTTAGCCTCTTCAAAGAAGCGAAGTGTCTCTGCTTTCCTCTTCGAAAGACAGCTGGATAAAATCACTGTGTAAAATGTTTGCGGCCAGGACCAGTTTCCATGCGGTATTTATAAAGCCTTAGGAGTTGGAACTCAAATTCCAGTAATGCTGGGCAATGGCACATGGTCTGAGCTGCTTCGGGCTTTGTTAATTTAATGAATTAGAGACCAAAAAATAATAATTATATATATATATAAAATAAAAATTCTGAGAGCATTTGCAGCCTGGGTGGAAGGCTGATAAAGATTACATATAATGCATTTTTAACAGTTTTCCTTGCAGCAGGGTTCCTCCTGAGATCTGATCCACTGATTTCATTCAGCATACACAAACCACTCTAGAAAGGTTTCTTGGATCGGACTCTGTCACGGAGTCAAGCTGATTACCCCAGGGAAAGAAAAATGTACCCGTAGTCAAGGTGGGAAAAGGGGAAGAGAAGCCTGGGGGCAGCCAGGTGGTGGCCGAAGTCTGCAGCACTGCTAGACAGCATCCAGAAGCACACTCTGATTCATTATTTCATCTGGGACTTGGTGGCATTTCCTGTATGCCGAAGAATTGGCGGTCTCCTTTTATGCATCAATTCCACCTGGAAATGTGGGCCACTTTTGCAGTTTTGAAAGCTATGGCACACGTTCCCGTAGTAACACACCGCAGTTTTGGGAAAGGTGACATTTTGGCATCTGGGAAGAGATTAACTGTGCCAGCTGCTGAGCCCTTGGACGCTCCCAGATGCCCGGGCAGCTTTACAGGCTGTTTTGGCTGGCCGCTCCCAGAATGTCCGGCAGCTTTCCTGGGAGTTCGCTGGTAGCCGATGCTGTGTCTGGTGTGTGAGCTGGCTCGGCAGCCGCTCAGGGGCTGGGTGTAGCTGTCAGCCTACCTTGAGCTGGCTCCTTTCCTCAGCACGTAGAAATTATTCTGGCTGGAGGTGATGGGCATCCTTTCCTGGTTCTCCTTGCAGGTGGCTCCCTCGTCTTGGTGCATGAAAGCTATTTTAGGAGAGAGCCAAAGATTTGCACTTCTTCAGCAGAGCCCTCTCATAAAGCAGCCGGATCTGGAGGGGATTTTGTTTGTTGAAATGCCCAACCATCCCTTTGGAAGGGATACTCTTTTGGAGCAATGTGAATGTGGCTGCTGCTGTACACTGAGTGGTAAATAACACTTGTCCATGCTCTCTGCCCTGCCTATTTATTTAACTATCTTCTGTTTGCTACACTATGATGGTTAAGAGATAGAAATGCAGTCATGTAGTTTCTAATAGTAGAGCAAGGGGTTTACGGTGAGTTAAAGTTACTGCAAAAATAGAATTTCAGTTGTTTTTATGTTGCAAAGAATTAATGTAGAAGTAAATTTGCATTGCAGCTTGCTTAGGACCCTTTTGCACTCCGGCTTTTGCGAAGCAAGGTTTTGCAAGCATGAATATTGAAAAGAAAATTAATGCTAAGTCTCGAGACCGGAACATGTGATAATGGAATGCAGTAATAGGAGATGCTAGTTGTGTTTTAGATTTCAAAATTTATGATGTGTGTGAAATTGTTTAGTTACTGCACTTATGAAGCAGAGGGGATAATGTGATTATATATAATTAATCACAAAGCCCAAATAGCACATCTGGGATATTTGTGATAAATAGTTTATTCTTTAATGACCTGTAGCCCAAAAAGTACTCACTGGAGACAATTGTAAATAACACTGTGCAATGGATATTAAGGAAATTTAGTGATATGGTTTTAGAAAGTGCATGAATAAAAAAATACACAGATTCAGATAATACATTTTTAATGGCAATATTTCCATTTTATAAACTGCTGTCTACAAGGGGGTGGAGGTTTTTTGTTGTTAGTTAGCTGATTTTAAGTATTTATCTTTAGTCTTTTATTTTTGGAAATGTGCCTAAGGAATAATGAATGGGATATTTATAGTAATAGGCAGAGGCTAATGTTCTAGAAAGATGGGAGAAAAAATTCCGGATTTGTTAGGTGTGCTGGTTGCCACAGTTGATGCCTCTGAATTACATTTCCATTTAGCAGTTAGTGAGATAGATGTTAAAAAAAATAGATGCCAGTTTCCCACTGAAACTCTTGCCAACAGTATGTTAAAGTGAATCATGTGGTGTTTATACAGTGGTTCACCTCTCCAGCTCCTTTGTGTCTGTTCTTGCTAATTGGGATAGGGAATTGTGTGTGCTTTGCCTTCCAGTTAATGCCTAACAGCTCACTCCTCACCTATAGCCTTATTAACCCCGTATTTAATTTAAATTTGCCCAGCAGATTCTTCATTCATAACTATAAGGATTTCTCCTTTTACTTTGGAAGCAGTTATTATGTTACAGGCATTCTCACGACACCAGTAATAGAAGCAATCTTTGATGTACTGTAGTTGTGTGCTTGTTACAGGAGTTCAGGTAATTTGTTTTTCTTTCATTGAAATACTCTGATGTATGATCCTTATCCACGACAGATTTTCAGGGAACTGAATTTAAAAATTATTTCTTTAAGCAATATAGCCCTTTGTCTAACTATTTATTTTGCTGGAAATAATAAAGAAATCTTACCTGAGGTAGCCTGGGGCATTTTTTTCTGTTGTGGAATAACAAGAATTTTTAAAATAAAATTAAAAAATATGTAGTTCAAGAGAACCATATATTAAGATTCTTTCCCTCCTTCCCACCTTCCTTCTTAAATGTCCATTAAAGATGTAATTCTGACTCCTTTAGCCATACAGTGTTCCTTGGTATGCTTGGTGAAACAAAATAATTACAAAAAGCAAAATCATTACAATGATTAATTGTACCTGGGTTTATTATTAAAAAGGATTAAATTAAGCAAAGAAGTCTCATGAAAGCATACAGTGATAATCGATTGGAAGCATTTAATGAGTGTATACTGTACTTTCTATGGCCTTATGCAAA